CCCCCAAATCAATGGGAAGCGTTTGGAATCTGCAGCCAGCTCCCTGCTCCCCTCACCCAACCAGAGAGATAACTGGGCAGGTCCCCACCCCCATCCTGCCCGCACCCCCTGGAGGACGCAGACCAGCCACACAGCGTGACCAGCAAGAGCCCCGGCCTCCCCTCTCCTCGCAGAAAGGGCCCATCTGCTGGGACGAAAGGAGCACGCGAGAGGGGAGGGGCCAGGCACTGTCTGACCGCCCCACCTACCCCCCCCTCCAAATACCCCTGCAGTTAGTCACCAGAGCTTTCAGGCAGCCAAAAATGTTAAGCACTGGGTCCCATGGGGGAGCAGACCCCACCTCTAGTGATCGGCTCCGCTTTAGTAGTGATTCAGCAGATACAAGTCTGAAACCCCAGGGCAACAGCCCTGTTTAAAGAGCATGCAAAAGCCACACCCCAACACACCCAACTCCCAACGATATAGGCTATTTACATAACATTCGCTTCTCATTGGCCACCCCACTCATTGGTGGGGTATTGTTCTAGAGCTCCAAGCTCAGCCAGTCTCTGGTACCCAGTCCTGGAATGTCCCAGCCCGAACACATAACACAAAACACAAACACATAACACAAAACAAGCCCCCCCCCCCCAAGAGGGAGGCTGTGGGAACCGGTGGGACAGATGCCCACTGTCGGAGGCCGAGTTCTCTATGCCACATATCGGCTTTGGTTGCTACGCCAGCTGTGGCCATTCCTTGAAAAACATCACCTGGCCACGGTGATGTTCCGATTACATCCACAACAGATTACTGTAATGAGCTCTGTTCCACCCTGCCCTCCTAGGGATTCCCAGCTCCATGGAGGGGCACTTCTTTTACTCTCCAGTAGCCCACCACCACCACCTGATCAATTTAAGGATTCTCCACTGGGAGGATCAGGGCCCCCAGCTCCCCTTCCAAGTTCTGAGGCCAGTTGCCTCTTGTGTCTCCCGCTGCCCAGCGCCTGGCTGCCACCGGGACTGTTCACTGCCTGGGGCGTCCCTGGAGGAATAGCTGCTTGCCAACCCCCCTGGAGTGGGAGTCTATGTGCTACAGAGAACCGCTCCCAGCCTCAAAGGTTGAAAGTATTAAAAAGAAAATGTTTACAAGAACACTTTTAGCACAGCACCAGACTCAGCAAGGAAAACAAAAGAAATTGGCAAAAAACCCCACCAATCCTCTGTCCCTTTCTCTAAACATGCTCTACCAGCTGTTAAAATAGGACACGTTCTTTAGCTTAGCTGTTCTAGTTTCCTACAGAGTTCCCACTACCTCAAGACTTGCTCCAACTCTCCCACAGAGGATCGCATGGCCAAGGGCCGCCTGCTTGCAGACAAGAGTTCAGAGCTCTCCTCACCGAAGGATCCCAAAGAAAAGAGAGCTATTTCCTGTTGCCTAGAGATTTTATTATCTCTCTTTCTCCTCCCACGACCCCAGTCAGCCCAGGTCAAGTCTCCAGAGATCTGCTTCCTCAGCCTCTCTAGGATTTGACACCCCAGCTCTCTGATCCCTGCCTGAAAGGGGGGGGGGAGAGAAGGGGAAGGCTGGACCATTAGCATTTGCATGAAGGGGAGGCCTGGGGAGCCATTGATGGGCTTCCTCCTTTGCTGCTTGCCAACCCCCCCAGGAGAAAATGCATTTCTTCACAAGCTCCAGTTGGGGCTGCCTTTGAAGTCTGTCCAGAAGCTTCAGCTGGTCTGAAATGCAGCAGTGAGGGTACTGCCAGGCTGGGACAGAGGGACGGCCTCATCCCTTGGGCTGAAAGATCTGCATTCGCAACCCCGCTCAGCTGTTTCCAGACGAATCAAAGTGCTGCTCACTGAAGCATCGCAAATAAAAGATCCCCTCTGCAGATCTGTTCTCTCTTGCTCTGGATTGCAAGACTAGATTGAATGGGTGGAAATGACAAGGGAGCCGCTACCGGCTAAAGATCAGGAGAAACTTCCTAACGGTAAGAGTGGCTGAGCAGTGGGACAGACTGCCTCGGGAGGTGGTGGAGGCTCCTTTGCTGGACGTTTCCAAGCGGAGGAGGCTGGACGACCCTCTTTCGGGTCTGTTGCAGGGCTCTCTTTCGGCTTTGCTCCTGCAGAGTGCAGGGGGTTGGACTGGATGACCTGCAGGGTTCCTTCCGACTCTGACATTCTATGATTCTATGGTTCTATGATTCTTACTTTTAGAGCCCTACATGGGCTTAAAGCTGGAACGCCTGAAAGGCCACCTCTTCCCATCCTGTCCAGCCCACCAGCTAAGATCTGCCTCGCAAACCCTGCTCTCTGTGCCCACACCTGCAGAAGAAGTGAGATGGGTGGCAACCAGAGACGGGGCATTTTTAGTGGCGGCACCTCACCTCAGGGATGCCTTCTGCTTGAGGTTTACTGTCCTTTTTGGTGCCGGGTCAATTTCCCCCCCTTTTTTTACCAGGCTCTTTGGTGTAGAGGTTAAGAGCGCGGACTCTAATCTGGGAGAACAAGTTTAATTCCCCACTCCTCCACATGCAGCTGCTGGTGTGACCTTGGGTCAATCACAAGTTCTCTCAAGAGCGGCTCTCTCAGAGCTCTCTCAGCCCCACCTGCCTCCCAGGGTGTCTGTTGTGGGGAGGGGGAGGGGGAGGAGATTGTAGGCCGCTCTGAG